AAAGGAGAAGGAGAAAGAAAAAAGAAGAAAAAGATAAAAAGAAAAAAAAAATTTTTAATTTTATTTTTTATAATATTTTTTATATTATTATTTTTTCCACATCATCACTTTTTGACTATATTATCTTTCACATGGATTACTATATGACATGTCATCGTGTTCCCGTTAATTAACAGTACACGTCACTGGATTTTTAACTGAAGGGCCAAATCGAGGTAAAAATGGTAAACAGTAGGGACCAAATCAGGGATTTTTTTAGTTTAGGGACCAAATCGGGGGTTCGTACAATAGTTCAGGGACCAAAAAGGGGTTTTAACCTATATTTTAATGATTCATAATTCACATGTCCTAGTCTAGCATGCCATAAATAGAAGAACACTTAACAATATAAGCAAAAGCATTTTTTATTTCATTAATACTCAATTTGAACATTCCATCACAAGAATAAGCTTTCCCCACAAAGTTGCCATTTTTTGATATAATGGCCTTGTCTGATTCTAAGACAACCCTCAAGCCCCTATTACATAATAGCTTTACAAACACCAAGTTCTTTCTAATATCAGGCACATGGAAAACATTAACCAAGGTCAATTTGTGGCCTGACATGAACTTTAATTCCACTATGCCTTTGCCTAGAAATTTTGCTGTGACATTGTTTCTCATAAGCACTTCCTCTGGTTCCTTCTAATCTTCATAAAACTTGAATTGTGCTTTGTTATTGCACAAATGAACTGTTGCACCAGAATCTAGCCACCAATCCATAGACTTGGTTGGATTTGCCATGTTCAATTCAGTCAACATCCCGACTTGCATATAAGACACCATAGCAACAAATTCATGCTCAATCAAATTTGCCTTGTTGCTTGTTTTTGCACTGGTGCTAGAACCAAAGTTCTTTGCATTATTCCTGAATTTGCAATGTTTAATAAAATGACATTTCTTACCACAATGGTAACAAGGTTGACTTTTCTTGAAGAAGTTTTCTTGAAAGCATTGTTTTTCTTAAGAGGCTTGAGTTTATTCTTGAAAGGTTTGGCAGAATTTTGACTCACATAATTAACTTTTGAGGGTGCCAATATTGCATCTCTTGAACGATTTTATGCCTCAATCTGGAGATGTGTTTGAAACTGTTCCCTAGTCAGAATTTCATATGAATATAGAACCTTTTTCCTATAATTATTCCAAGATGGAGGAAGTTTTGAAAGTATTGCCCCCACTTGAAGTGAATCAAGAATCTTTATCTCCAACTCTGACATTCTTGATAACAAAATTTGTAATTCATGCACTTGATCCATGATGGAAATATCATCTTTCATTTCAAACCCAAAATATTTAAGTGCAAGAAACTTGTCTGTACCTTTCTTTTCATGCTTGTATTTCTTTTCCAAAGCAATCCAGATTTCTTAAGGAGAAGACATATTGCAATACAGATCATAAAGTATATTAGTGAGAGAATTTAGAATGTGTCCACGACATATGAGTTCATTTTTTTCACGCTTCAGTCTTGCATTCTTCACTCCTTCAAAATCGTTTTCCTTCGGTGCTGGGATAAGTTGCAATTTTAGATCAAGAACATATGACACCTTAAGTGTTGTTAGTAGGAAAGTCATCTTATCCTTCCAATGCATGTAGTTGGTGCCATCGAACCTATCCAATCTGACTGCATCTAGATTCAACAACTTGATGTTGGCATTTAAAGGAAGAGCGATAAGGGATTTTAAATCCTTAAGATTGTTAGAAAATAAGGAATAGAAGAAGAATAAAAAGAAAAGATTCTGAGGCGTGATCTCACTTTCCTTAAGGATTTAAAATTTTCTAAGATACAACAAAACTCAAAACTCTTTCAGAATTAAATGTAGAACTCTAACTTTATATAAGAATTTATATTGCTTGAAAAGTCACTATTTGTAGAAATATATCCCTCCAGGAAGACACAATTTCATAGAGGTACCTTTTAACTGCTAAAAGTTATGTTTGATTTTCAGATATGTCTTTCCAAATTGTAATTTAATAAAATAAAATAAAAAATCCGAAAATAATAAGTACCCAAGTGCTCATCTTTTGACTATATATAAAGAGATAAGGTGCAATTTGCCTTTGGTTTCACTTTACTTAATTATTTGTTGATGAAGAATAAGCTTTTATAAACTTCTTTAAGTTCCCATACATTTTCTTGATGTGAGATCTTAAACATTTACAAATTATACATTTTCTTGATGTGAGATCTTAAACACTTACAAATTAAACACTTACTTGATGTGAGATCTTAAACACTTACAAATTATTCAACATCTCGAACGTCAACATATCTAACAGAAGGTCGCAATGGTTCTTCCGCACCCAAAAGATGTCAAATATGTGTGTAAGGGTAGCATAAGAAAGAAAAAATTGTACACATTATTTCCAACAGATTGGGAAGCATACCAGCTGTTGTGAGCTTCAACATCACCTCAATGCTGGCATTGGGGGTTGGCTGCAAAATAGGACCAATGACAAATCCTGGGTTTATTGTAACCAAATCAATCCCATTCTCTTTTGCGAACTTCCAAGCTGCCTCCTCAGCTAATGTTTTGGATAGCATATACCAAAGCTGAAAAGAAAACCCAAGATGTTACAAAATTAATGTTTTGCCCTTACCATTTAAGTAAAGCATGTGCATTAGAATTTGATTACCTAGAATAAAAGGGATAAAAATTCTTCAAGTGGAAATGTGAGTAATCACCTTGGAGTTCTCACAAAAAGCTGCATCTGAAAACCAAGTCTCATCAACCACAACGTCTGGAATCAATGATTTTCCATTGTATGTAACTGCAGCCATTGAAGAAGTCAGAACTACCTTCTTGATGGAAGGAACTTTCGCGCATGATTTAAGAACATTAAGAGTTCCCTTGAGCGCAGGATCGATTAAGTCTGCCTGAAACAAGGAAAAATGAATTGTCTCTTACAAATTATGCTCCAAATAGGATAGTATATATGGACAGTCAGTCCGCATTGCAATACATTATATAACTCACATGTTTCCTGCAAAACAAGCTAGTATGTATGCAATTGTAAGAATAATGAATAAAGTAAAGACCTTGGGATCAGCAACTGAAAGACACACAGGGGATGCCGTGTGAAAAACTGCTTCACACCCATCCACTACATAATCAAAACTTCCTTCATCCAATAACTCTGCTTTGAGTAGATGAAGTCTTTCCTTCCCTCCCTCAAGTGCAAATAAGTGTCCTGTTTTCTTCGGATCATCTGGCACAGATTCAATTAAAAGAAAACTGAATTTAACATCTAATAACCAAACCGAGAAATCATTAAAGGAAGATTGTGCAAAAAACGAACAATCTTTCATGGGAAGAAAAAGGAAGAAAAGAAAAAGTATTACTGACTTGGGTCACAAACGGTGGCTTTAACGGTATACCCACATTCGAGCAGGAGCTTTACCAGCCACGACGCTATGAAACCCGATGCTCTGGTGACACACACCACCTTCCCTGCTCCGCTCATCCCTCCTCGTGTCTGAGAATGCTGTTTCTGTTTTCCTCTGAGGAGTGAATAAATGAAGATCCAGTCATTTCTTATACCATGCTAAAAAGCAAGCTTGTATTCAGCTTTTAAAAATAATTTTTAACCAAGGCGGGCAATGCGAAGTAAAATGGTCAGCCCTTGCGTCACGAATTTTATGTTAGTCACCAAGGAGATCAGCCCTTACCTCACGGGACTCGGATATCAAATTTACTTGGTCAATAGATTTTGAAATGGACTTGGACCTTGGTAGAGTACTTTTCGCCTAGACTTTGGGCTCGGGCGAGAGGAAACACCGAAACAGAGAAGAACCAATTAAACAGATCAACAGAAAACAGGGGAAAATCTGTTTAGGGTAAATATTGTTTACAGTATTTCAATTTTTTTTATTAATTTTTTGGTATTCAGTAATCACATTAGATTTTAATTAATTTAAAATTAAATTGTGTCAAATCTTATTAAGAAAAATTCTCATAACGTCTATTTATCTATTCACAAAACTAAAACTTAAACTCGATACATTTTTTAAGAAAAATCAAGTTTTTTCATCTTGAATCAACAAATCATCAGTCTTTCAACAAGTCAAAGTCTTCTTCAATCTTTAACAACGAGTAATTTAGTCGTTAACCTATTAAAATTTGTCAATATAATTTTTGTTGTAATTTCGTGCATCATTTCTGTGAACTTGGACAAAATTCGCAATACCAACAAGGAAGAAGTGCACTACCATAAATTCATAACTCATGGGTGGAAAGGAATACCTTAAATAATTTTAAATTTTAAAAACCCAATCGCTTGAAAGACAAAAATTTTATTGAAAATGTAGTTTTACTGGGATTCAATTGAGATCCCAATTGAGGGTTAATGACGAGATTGAACATTACAAGGTGGTTAGACTCATCACCAAATGGTCTGAGAGCCATCCTTTTTGGGGATTCGTTGGGGGTTAGCTTTCTCCACCTATAGTTTTGCTTTAGCTTTTATTTAATTTTCATTATGATATACCCCAAAAAAAAAATTAAAAAAATGACGAGATTGAACATTTACTCCTTTCTCATTTTATAGCGAGTAATAAGCTAAATTTACTCTACTAAAGAATACTGATCAGTTTAAATAATATAATAATAAAAATAAAGTATCATTAAAAAATTAAATTAAATTTAAATAACACTAA